CGAACACAAGTGTTTTTCATTTTCTCTTTATCTTTATTTTCTAACAGTACAGTTCAGTGTTAAGTTTGCTGTAACTTTCAAGCGCAAGCAAATAGTCAGAGCAGCGCTGAATGAAACTCTGTTATTATATATGAATCAAAAGCTTGGAAATTGCAACTACATCAAGAAATTCATCACAATCTGCCGTGCCTACAAATCGTAAGAACTGTATTATGTTTAATAATCGATCGTCGTTTTTTGGCTGATTTCATCTGGTCTGATAAATCAAAGCCAGGAACCCGAAAACTTGCACTGAAAGATCACTTTCACTTACTTCACAAATCCATTCAAAGTACACCAGACAAAATTTCAAGAAAGATTTGGTGGATAAAATTTTGAAGTTTGCATATGAGTGAGTGTTCTAATTATTAAATATTCAAAATTATATTAAAATGTTTTATATTCAGACTAATTTGTTTTACGTTGTTTACCGAAAACCGTATGCAGCCTTCCACAAAAACTGAAAACGACAAATGAAAATAAAACCATCGCATATATGAAGGAGATGAAGAACAAAATGAGTGAAACATATGAATCAAAAGAAACGAGACCCCGATGATAATACAGTAACAGTGATAAATGCTGGTGCATCATCAGTACCTTTTCAATATAGTGCTCATATTCAATTGCGTACTGTAGCTGTTATAAAAGAATCAAATCTTGACAAAAAATGTTTTTGGGGACAGTTTTTTATTCATTATATCCAGTGTTTGGTTAAGATATCTTATCTCGTTTGAGATAGTAAGATAATATAAGATAGATACTATCTTTTATCTTATCTAGATGATTTTAGAAACTGAAAAAATCATCTTATCTTTATCTTATTTTTGGCTTTTTTTGGTATCTTATCTTTATTTTTTAAGATAAATAATAAGATATTTTGGTCATTTATTTAAAAAATAAAAAGGAACTTACATCCGTAAGTCTAACTTTTCTGCACTGTTTCCGAATTTCTTCCTTTACCGAACTGGTAGTGCAGTACTAATTCAATAACTACCGAATTATATTGTCTAAGAGCAGTCTAGTATTTTGGCCAATTAATAAAGTATAAATATTTCAAAATTTGTAGCGTGTTTATTGTACGGAAAGAAAAAATCACAAAAAGTGTGATTTTTTTGAGGCAATTTTAATACAAATTGAAGATACCTCCCTCCTAAAGAAAATTTTGTATGGGGGGTTTTTTGATTGAAATTTCTTCCAATTTGGTGAAATTATGTATTTTGATGAGAAATAAGATCCACAAGTTTTAATTGTGATTAAGTTACTGCAAGCATAAATTTTGGAAAGAAATTCGATCAAATTCGAGTCAACAAAACACTCTTATTAACTTTTCAATTAAAAGTAGGGGTACTCCCCATACAAAATTTTCTCAAAAACGATTTGATTGAAATTTCTTCAAACTTTCAGAATGTCATTTTTTTGTATAAAAAATAGCCTGTGCAAAGTTTCACGTCATTAAGGCTGCATAAAAGCATGGCTCCCATACAAAAATTCAATTTTTCGCGATTTTTTTTCAAAGAAACTCTGTTAAAACTTGATTTTATCTCAAAATAACGTCGGATTCAGATTTCTCGTGCCAAAAAACACCCCAATACACATTTCAAACTTGAATTTACGTCTCTGGGGAAAGATTTATCAAGTTAACAAATTTTTGCATACCATACCCCTTATGGGTACTCCATCATGGTGTCACCATGGATACACCGATGCACGAATATCGCTGAAAAACAATACCAGCCTATTCCTCGCAACCCCCAATCACCCTGTGATTTTCTGTACCCAAAACGCATAGAAAAACGATTTTTAGCGATTTCAAAATGTTGAGGTGATCGCAATACTTTACTGCACACAGTGGGTGTGCGGAAAAGTAAAATTCATCAATTGTCGGTATGATTAATTTGTTCATTGAAGCGAAAATGATCAATTTCATGACCCGATTGGTCAAATATAAGAATTCTTCGTTATCAAATTCCATTGCACGTCCATTGAAATCAAGTTGATTGCATTCAAGAAATTTCGAGAAATTCACCTTCGTATTGCATAAATGGCATAAACACGAAACGCTTTGAAAAAGGTGCTTCCCCCATCCGTAACAATATGTGTTATTTTGTGCTCTGCCAGATCATATTTTTTAAAGGCGTTTATAAGTATTTTGGTCAAAGCATCGTATGATTTTGGTATCTGTCGAAAAGCTAAAACGAACGATTCCCTCTGATAGGACGATAAATAGTGCAAATAGAGTAAATTTGGAATTCCATCGTGTTACGTACAGATTTACCAGCATTGAAATTGTAATGTTACTAACCATTATATTAACATAAATGCTTGTAATAGTTAATAAAATTATAATAGCTATTAATGTAATGCTAAAATCTAACATTACAATATCAATAGCTAATACCGGTAATGTCTTTTTACAATAACAATGTGTTACCCGTATTGTTAAAAATCTAACATTAATATTGAGACTTTTCAACACAACTTTAAGTTGAAAATATATTTACAATAGATGGAGTTTGTGTCTGCTCTAAGCTCAGCGTTGAAATTGATTGGGTTGATGAGCAATTTCAATGATGAGCTTATATAATATATTTAAAACTTAAAGTTGTATTGAAAAGTCTTTTTATTAATGTTAGATTTTTGACATTAGCGGCAGCGTTGAGTAACACATTATTATTGTAACGAAGCATTGTCAGTAATGTTATAAGAATAGCAATAGCTATTACTGGTAATGCTAGAATCTAACGTTACAATTGTAATGACGTTACTGTAATGCTTCGTTACAATTGTAATGTGTTACTGTAAAATGTAAATCTGTAGTGTTACGCACGGGTTCACATCCGACAACTTCAACGCACGATTCATGGGCCCGATTACTCCGACCGATTAATATCCACAGTGCGTGAAGTTTGTTTATAGCAGATATTAATTAACATTCTTTTTTTTCAAAAAGAAATCGTTGGGTGCCAAATCAGGACTGTACGGTGGATGACCCATCAATTCGATGTTTTGAGTGGTCAAATATTCAGTTGTTTGATGAGATGTGTGAGAGCTTGCATTATCGTGATGAAGAATTATTTTGCGACGGCGGTTGTTTTATCTTATTTCACCAAAAACTTCGGACAAACAAATGGTGGTATACCAATCAGAATTGACTGTTCTACGATCCTCTAGTGGAACTGTTGCCACATGACCATTTCTCCCGAAAAAACAGGCGACCATTTGCTTCGAAGTGCTTCTTGCTCGAACAACTTTGATGCACCTCGATTGAATTTCTTGAGCATTTTTTTACACCAATTCACTCGAGCTGTTTTTTGCTCATCGGTCAATTTATGTGGGATCCAACGAGAGCAAACTTTTTTCACGGCCAAATGTTCATGCAAAGTCTTGTGTATGCTTTTCATAGTAATGCCCAATGATGCCTCAATCTCACGGTATGTCATATGACGATCTTCCATTATCATTTTTCTGAGAGCATCGATGTTTTCTGGCACAACAGCACATTTTGGACGACCTTCATGGGGCTCGTCTTTGAGCGAACGCCGATCATGATTGAATTCTATAAACCAGCGATATACAGTGGCCTGGGATGGTGCTTCATCGCCAAAGGTCGAATGGATTTCATCGACGCACTGTTGTTGAGATAATCCACGTCGAAAGTTGTAATAAATAATCATACAAAAATTTTCACGAGTTAATTTCATTTTTTCTCTGAGACGCAATTTAGATGTTACTGTAAACAATACAAATGACGATCGTATGACAGAACGTTCTGAGGATGTTTAGGCTAAAAAATGTCAAACTTTACGAATATGACAATGGTTTGCATCTAGCAACGTCAGTGTTGCCAATTCTCAATAACTATGCAGCAACCTACGTATATGTTCGAAAGTTGTGGTAAATATTTAACACATTTGGCAGAAAAATCCAAGACGTGAATTGCATGACGATCAAAGTGATGCCCAATTTATGTATTGTCTTTATAGATGACCATATGGTTAGACATTGATTATTACAATTTGACTTGAAACGTGATCATTATTTTATATATTTAATAAATTTACTATTAAAAAATTCAAAAAACTTACATCGTTTCAATGATAGTTAAAAAAAACTAACGAATAATAGGAAAATGAAAAGAAAATGATCCAAATGTCAAACCGTTGGGACAAATAAGGACATTTAAGAAAAACTTCAAATTATAGCAAAATATTTCTGTTACCCATGTGAAAAAAGATTATCAAACGAAAAAAAAATCTTCTAATGTGATGTGCATTATGTCCATTTTTGATTTATTTCACCTTCCGCTGTTGTTGCTCGATAAAAAACTACGTTTTCAAATGTAACCTTTTAAATAAAACATCATAACACAAAGTACAGTTTTAAACTAAAAAAAACGGAAATAAAACGCTGTTTGTTATTTTCTATATTCAACTCATTTCTTTATATTCATCTTTGTTTGTGGTTTATAATTTATTTGTCAAATATAATTTGTGTTTAAGACTTACATCGACTTGTTTGTTCTAAACGTTTAGATTTGTATAGGCGTGTTTTTCTTTCATTTCATCATCCTCCCTCTCACTCACTTCCGTGTGAAAGACAGAGTCCATGAAATTTGTATTTTCTTCTTTTTTTAAATTCATTTTACACAAATATTCTTCAATTTGTCTCGCAATTTATATGTCGCAGGTTAAAGATTGTTTTTATTTCATTTATTCATGTTCGCTGTGTTGTATTTCTATTAAATAGACTCATTAAGTTAAATTTCTATGATATAATTAAATAACGTGTTAGATTTGTATTCTCTTCATTGTTATTTTTTGTTGTTGTTGTATGATTTTTTTTAATTGGTTTTCTTCTGTTCCGTTTATTTTTATCAACCCATCTCTGTATTGGGCATTGATTCTTTGCTTTGATTGAAACTACAACGGAAACGTTTTCAATTTAAATTAAAAGAAAAACGACGTTAAAATCTGATTGAAAATTGGGAAGAGGTGTTGCTGATTGGAAAAGGTATCTGGAATAAGCTATCCTATCGCACACATAATTTACATGTTGAAATGTATTTATCGGAATTCAGAATTTAAAAAAATTGCCACGCCTTTTCCAGGAGGAGATAATTCAGTTATTGCTTTTAGATTTGATTAATTGTATCTTTATCATCGACACCGGATGTGGCAAATGTGCCAAATTATGGGAATTGTTCATTATTTTGTTAACACGGTAACATTCTTATTTATTTTGTGTTTGCTTCTTCAGTAAATTCAATTCGTTTTCTTGATCGACATTTCGACTTTTAAATACCGACCGTTATGGTTTCGGTTAGACTTTTTTTTCCAGTGGAGCATATGTTAAATATTGTAGCACTTACATAATTTATAAAATAAATAATAGCATAAGATATTAAAAATAAACGTAAATGATCTGGATTGCTGTGGCTATATCCAGTGAAATAACTAAATAAATCGAAAAAAAATTGTTAAAGAATACAACGTTCCTTTAGGAATATAAAAAAAATGATTGAAATACATGTATCAAACTATCTTCGCTTAAATTTCATTTTCATTATCCTCCCGACTTTTTCTGTGTTCATTTTTTCACGTATGTGTGTTTTCGCTTCGCTTAATTACATTGTATTTTTATTTACAGTTTCTCATTAAATACATAATTTGATTGAAATGTGGTTCATCATTGAACTTGTTTTCTTAAAAATGGGTCTTTTACTTGATCTGTTGTTTGTTTCACTGTGCGTGCGTGTTGGTGCATTTGATTTATCAAAAGGTGTTCCATTTCGTACTTTTTCCAAAGACGCACGCCTGAAACAAATTGCCTTTTATTTATTTATCTCTTTTTTTCGTTTTTTTCTTGTGTGGGTTGATTTTTTTTCTTCTAATTTTCATGTTTATAAACATGCCTTCATTTGTTACTGGCTGAAGTTTGTCAAATCATGTTCGTTGAGTGATAGCTAGAAATCATCGTCGCAGGTATCTTCGATCTTAACGCAAACCTGACCTTCACGCAAACCTCATCTACGCATTGGATTCGCATTCAACATATATGGATATCCTGAGTACATGGGATTTTGTTGAACGGCCGCAGCACGTTGTAGTGCGGCTGGATCTTGATACTGTGATTGCATGTTCATGACATTGGCCATATTTGTGATTTGCAATTGGCTCGGGTTATTCATAAATTGTGCCGCCGAATTGGCAATATAGCTACTCGGTTGTTGTGTGGTCATTCGATAACCATTCAGCGCCGAACCATATGGTGAAATGAGATTTGCCGACGGTGGTGCATTTCGTGTGGTTCGTGAACGTTGTGTTGATGCAATGTTTGGTGTTAAATTTGGCGACAAATTCGGCGGTAGATTCGGGCTTGCATTTTGAATGTGCGAAATATTACTCGAATAATGGTATTTGTGATATGGAATCGATGGAATTTGAGCAGCACTTGGTGGCGTTGGTAAATTACGATTTTGATTGACCAAATGAGATGTAGGTGGCGGTGGTGTCATCGTATTATGTGGATGATGATTTGGCGATGGTGTTAAATTTAATGAAGCCGCCGGCGGTGTATTGCACGGTTGCACAATATCCAAACCATTTGTTAATTGCTGCAATTTTGATAAGCTTGATACATTACCAGCTCGTGAATCCTATTTTGTATGCGAACATTCAAGAATTGTTAATACTTTCATCAGTATTTGATGATTTCATAATGAATTCAGTGGAGAAAATACTTACAACACATGGATTGGCCAAGTTGGCATTGTTGCCAGCTGCACCAGCATTATTTGCACCAACTGAAGCATGCATTTGTTGTAATGTTGGTGTAACGGACGGTGTTGGGGTTGGGGTCGGAACTGGCGTATGGGAAACTAAATGACATAATATTGGTTTGATTAATTTCAATTCAAAAGTTTCGAAATCAAAACGAGCTATCAAATCAACAATGCTTACCTGGCGGAACGTTTGGACTTTGTCCATAAAAGTTTGAACCAACCGAACAGGATGATGGTGATGGTCCCAATCGTTGATGTGGACTTGGCAATGGATTGTGTGTTGTTAAATTGGAATGATTACCGGACACACGATGTTGAATGACCGATGTCATTGGCAATGTACCGTACGAATTTGGTGATTGTGCCGCATAATTTTGTGCCGAACCCATTTGTGGAACGCCCAAATAGTCATGCTGTTGATGCATCACTTGGTGATGACCATGGACCGGTGCGCCGGACAAATGATTATTGTATTGATCGATTTGCTGTACATCAATGCCTTGTTGCTGATGCACTTGTTGAGCTTGATGTTGGTTTTGTGCTTGTTGATGTTGCAAATGCACTTGTTGTTGCATTGACATTTGTTGAATTTGTTGACCTAGAATACATAAGTCAAATGAATGTTATGCATTATGTTTCTGATTTTAATTGGTAAAAATGGTCTGTATTTTACCTGCACCCGGGCTGACCATTTGCTGTTGAACCGTATGATTTGGTGTGGCGGTTCGTTGAGCACGTTGTGATGAATGTTGCTGTTGTAAACCTGGTGTTGATGTGTTTCTCGCTTTTGGCGTTGTCGATCGATTATTTGTGGCACGAACTTGTTGTGCAACCATGTGTTGTTGTTGCTAAAAATTGCGAGGCGTTTTTGTTTTATTAAATGGTCAAATGAAGATGTTATTTAAATGGAAAATTACCTGTTTCTGTTGATGATTATTGATGGCAACCATATCATTTGGACCAAGTTGATAGCCACGGCCCGAATTCGATTGCTGTTGCTGTTGTTGATGATGTTGAATGGCCATGTGAAGATGTGCTTGGTTCGCTTGCTGTTGCTGAATCGAACAATCGGAGAATTGATTCATTTGTGAATGTGACACAACGCTCGGTGGTCGTACATTTTCAACCGAATTTTGCGATGCGATATCGCTCGCAATACTGGCCGGTGATTCAAGACCCAAATGTGCAACATCCAAATCGCATTGACCATAATGATGCAAACTGTGAACGGAATTGGTCGTTGAGTCTGGTGTATAAACGCCCATTGATGGAATGTCAGCCGTTGGTGATGTGTGCTGTTTCAATTCGGTTGTATTACTGTTCGGCGTTGTATTACCCGTCAAATCTTGTTGATGATGCGCATTTTGAATGTGATGTTGATTTTGTTCAACGGCCAATGCGGCTGCTTTCGTTGATTGCATCATATTTGGATTGAGTGCATTATTTGTATTCATCAAATTATTGGATTGGGCCGATATGGCATTCATTGCATTTTGATTTTGAACCATATGTCCCGATGGACTCAAATTATTTTGCAAATTACCATGACCTTTTTCATTGTGACTCTTTTGATGGTGATTTTTGGCTGGATATAAATAAAGAAAAGACAATGTGGTTATGCTTTTGGTTACTTTCAGCAGCATAGGCGTTGACGCCAAGAAATTTGGAAAAAGTATTCTTCTTCTTCTTCTTCTTCTTCCGTTCTATAGTTTTTTTAGAGTTAGGTGGGTCATCTCCAATGCCCATCACACAATTAAATTTGATCCAAAAAGCCAAAAATTCAGTACATGAAAAATGTAATTACCTTTATTTATCTGATTCGCATACATTGACGAAGATTCTTTAGTTTTGTTCATATGCTCTTCTTTAATACTTTTGTTGGAATGCTTTTGATCATGGTTCGAACTTTTTCGCGCTTGCGAAGATGATTTATCACGGTTGTGCATTTGGTTATTGTGTTGCGGTGGCGGTACCGACTGTTGCTGCTATATAAATAAGAGACAATTCAATTAAAAATTGAACACAAATCCTCTGCTTTAAAATTGTCTAGACCGTAAATGAACTGAAATTCTTTACCTGTTGTTGATGATGTTGCAATTGTAAATTCGATTGAAGTTGCTGTTGATTTTGCTGATGTTGCAGCTGATGCTGAATATTTTGATTGCCGCTAGATTGTTGAAGCTGAAAATCAAATGCAAACTAAATTTAATTTTTACCATTATCTTCGATCTTTATTTTTTTCATATAAAAAAAAAAGAAATCTTCAAAACATTGAAGATTATTAGACGATTTTGATTTGGTTCTTACCTGTTGTTGATGTTGGTACTGTAAATTCGATTGGATTTGTTGCGTGTTCTGTTGTTGTTGTTGTGATTGTTGTGCAGCTAGTGAATTGGCGGCCAGATAATTGCTGGTCATGCCACCGTACATCGAATTGGCCAAATCCTTATGAAATTTTGTTGGTGATTTTTGTGTGGCCGATGGATCCAAATGTGGTATATTATAACCCGAATGATAATTGTATGCATCCCAGGGTGATAAATTATAATACTGATGTGCCGTATGATAGTTAGGTAATTGATTCATTGCAAATTGTGGTCGCATCTTATTGAGATCAGTGTCAATGTTACCGCGCATTTCCGATTGTTTCTTTTCCGCGCTATTTGATTTCTTATCGCTTGATGTCGATTTCTTTTCGGCGTTGCCATGCCGTTTTTCGCCACTGGATAATAATGTGCCCGAACTGCTTGACATCAATTCATTTGAAAAGTTTTTTGACGACGACGTGGACGATGAATTGTAACCGGTCGTTTGTTTGCCAGACGAATCCCGTTTGGTTGGTGATTCACGTCGCATTGTGCTTTCATTTATGTATCCGGAATTTGGTTTAATTTCCGTTTTCGATTCACGTTTTATGTCATAGTGCGATGTTTGACTGCAACTGCTCGATGTACTCTTTTTGTGTTCACCACTTTGACTTTTACCGGACGAATGACTTTGTTTTGAGGTGGCGTGCGATTGTTGTTGTTTGTAACGACTTTTTGTTGATTCGGTGCCGGTTGATTGTTGATTGCCGTTCGACGAATGCATGCTGAGCGTTGCTGTGTCCATTCGATTTGGTTCTTCTTTTGGTTGAATGATTGTGTTTTTTGGTGGTGTTTTCATATCATGTTTATCTGGTAAACGCAGTGATTTCTCCATCATCGATGACGACGATGACGAGGTCGATAATGTTGGCGGTGAACTGTGATCCATTTTGAATGGTTCATGTTTTGTTTCAATTTTGCCATCCGATTTAGCACACTGTGGTGTTTTGGTCGGATCAATGCGTTGACAAAAATCCTGCGTTGTCGTTTTAGTTTCATCGTTTTTTGACACACCAATCGTTGAACCGCTCAAGGGCACACATTCGCTTGATGATGACATCGGTTCGTTTACCGATTTAATAACACTATTCTTTGAATCACGGGATTTCTCTGGACTCAATTGCACACCGGTACTTGGTTGATTCGGTAATTTTTCACGCGGTGAAATGTGCTCGGTTCGATTTACTGGTACTGCTTTTGACTTAGTCGCTTCACCACTGACAGCTTCGAAATCACTGGCCGAATTTTTGCAAGTATGCTTATTTGGACTGGGTTCTTTTTCAGTTGCATCAATTTTGCTGGTGACATTTGTTGATTCGCTTGACGGACGAACGGTTGGACTAGTTTTTGGATTTACAATGGTTGACGATGACAATACCTTTTCAGGCAAAACTTGTTTCTCTGTTTTCGTTTTATGTTCATTACTTTCTATTGTCGTTGGTTTCGTCGTTGCCATTTGGTGATCACTTTTTACGGGCGACACTTGTTGTTTCAATGCTTCTTGAGATTCACTTTGAGCATCAACGATTACATTCGGACGACCCACTTCAATATTTGGTGATTTAACAACATTTTCATGGTTTTTATTCGGACTGATAACGGTCGTGGATGATGCACTCTTTATTGGTGAACGTTCTTCGACATTTTCATTTGTCTTGACCACAACACTTTTTACGTTATGCACCGTTGATTGTTCGGATCGCAATTGTTCATTTGACCACTTTTCGTGTGGTTTAATTGGTGAACTATTTGAATTTGACGATTGACACATTGCAACTTCGGTTGTTTGTTTCTCTTTCACAGGAGACGCTTCTTTCTTTTGCTCAACAGAATGGATTTCTTTTGGCGGTGTCACAGTGTCCGTATGCAATCGATCTAATTTTGAATAAGTGTTTTTCGGTGGCGATGAGAATTTTGGCGGTTCATATACGGGCGTTGTGTTTGTTGTATCATCACATATTTCCATATCGTCACTGCCAAGCTCATTCGCACTACCGGCATCGTCATCTTTTTCGGTTGATGTCGGCGGCAACGGTGGCGGCGGTGCAACGGGAATTTCAACCTTTGCTTCCGAAGCGTTTGTCTTATTGATGTTTAAGTCTTTTTCATCCTCTTCTGACTTTCGTTCTCTCTCCTTATCTTTGCGATCATTTTCATAATGGTCTTTGCTTTTGGTTTCTTCTTCTAATCGTTCATTGGTGGCCTTGAATTCGTCACGTTTTCGTTCATCAATTGTGGGGATTTCAACGCTTTCAATTTCATTTTCAATAATTTTTTGTTTCTTTGTCTTTTTTGCAACGGCAACCGAATGTCGATCGCTTATTGATTTGTCGCTCAGTTCCGGTGCCGGTGGAACTTTTTCAACAACGGGATTATTTTGAATGGTAGGCATTAGATTTTCAATGGTTTTCGATGGCGTTGGAACATTTGCAGCAGCCGTTGAAGTGGATGACATCGGTTTGTCACGCTGTTCGAGCGAATACATTTTCACTGATGAACCTTCGACCAGTTTTTTATCCGCATTTATGTCTTTAAGTGCAACCATTAGTTTTTTCTTATTGCACAATTTGATCTCTTCTTCCATTTCATCGTCAGCTTCGGCCGAATACTCATCATGCGGTTTTTCGCATTCGCTTTGATTGATATTTCGTTTACCGCGTAATTTTGGTGTTGTTGCAATCGGTTTTGTCTCCTCTTTGACCGGTGTTACACATTCAGGCGCGGGTGTAAGGGCTGATTTTCCAGACGACTCTTTAGACGGTTCACTCGTCGACTCATTTGTGAGATCAACTGAAGATGACGGTTTGATAGGTCTGCGAATGGGGGGAAAAAAGAAATGTTTTAAATAAAAAAAACGGTTCTGAAAAGATTAATTTATTTTTAAATGATATACCTTTGCTCGATGGCGCTATTTTTGGCCTTTTGCATTTGCATCATTTCGGGCAATGTCATTTGTTTCTTATTGGAAATTTGTTGATCATCGCTACTAGTTCCACCGTGCGAATGATGCGGTGTTGATGCGCTAGCCGAACGTTCAGACGATGGACTTTGTTGTCGTTTGGCCATTGCAGCCGCAGCTGCAATTCGTCCCGATGTTCGATGACCGTGCATTTTACTCGACAATATCGGTGAGCTTCGTTTGCGTTTGCCACGTTTACCGGCTGCCTTTGTAAATATATCGGCAAGCATTGTTTTTGATTTGCGCACGCTAATCGGTTCATCTTCTAAAACGCTATCGATATCATCTTCCGATTGATTTTCAACCATTGGCGGTTGCATAATCTCTTGATCTTGAATACTTTGACCACGGCTTCGTCTTGAATGACGACGTCCACTACGTTTGTCGTTCAATTTAAGGAATTCATCGCCAGATGGTTCGGAGCTGGCAACCGGTGAATTTGATTGTTCCTGAGCGCTAATATTTCGCGATGAACGTCGTTCGACCATCGGATGATTCGATTCCTTTCGGTTGCTCATGCGATGCAATCGGCTCGATGGAAATTTTCGTCCGGCATCCGTTAATTCTGACTGTGAATCTGATTCAATAACTTGTTGTTTCGGTTGTTTCGGTTTGCGTCCACGACGTGGTGCTTCAATTTGTTCACATTTAATGACGGGTTGTGCAATCAATCGACTATCACGATGTGATTGCTTTTCGACCGATGGTGTTGTTAATTTTCCATACCGTGTTATTTCCGATTGACTTGTTCGTGGTTCTTCTTTGATACGAACTTCAAGTTCACTTGATTCATCGGTCAATTGAACACCGGCCGTTCGACGTCGTCTATGAGTTTTTTCGGGTTCAATGGTGGCTGTGTCCTCTTTCACACTAACACCCGATGTAATCGAACGTCCACGCGTATGTCGGCTCGGTGTTGTAGCGCCGCTTGAATCACGCATGGTTCTTTGTCGCTTGTGTGTTGTTGTCATTGCTTCCATTTCATCGACGTTCAATGAAATCTTTCGCTTCGATGTACGATGATCATCGGTTTCCAATTTTGTGGCACTTGTGTGATATCGTGTTCGTTTCGTTTCGCCCAAATCTTTGGCCGGCGAAGCCATCTCAATGATCTCACGATCACTGCGTCGTCGACGTGATTCTTTCACCGGTGTTTCAAGCTCTTGTGTATGACGCAATACCAAATTCTCATTTGATGCACTTTTTGGTTTGATATCAGCAAAATCGTTAAATTTCATTGGGCGTATTCGTCGTCGACCGGACGACGTTATTTCTATATGTCCTGCTGTATTTGGTGGTGTTTCAAATTGTGCTTTTTCCGCTTTTTGAGCGGCCGCATTTTCGGATCTTCTCGGTGGTCGTCCTATTAATAACACATATTCAAATGTTTAAATTAGAGAGTTTTTTTTTAATTTCGTTTCACTTTAAAAAAAAGAAACAAAATTACTTACCCAATGGTTTTGGTGTTGTTTTGGTGGGTGATTTCTTGGAACCGCGCATTCTCTTTCTAGCCACTTCGGCTAGAGTAAGATCGGGTGAGGTACTTTTGTTCGTTTCATCCACTTGCATAGTAGATTCATCTTCCGAATCGCTCTTCAACATATGCAAGGCAGGCGTTAGTAATGGTGTCCAACGTAAACATTCTGGATCGATATAAATGCGATTTTTCTGCTTCAATGTTCGTTCATGATATGCACTCACTTTATCCCAATTTATCGATAGTAAAATTTGATATTTAAAATCACCATCACGTTTAACGCAACGTACAAAATGCAATAGTTGAAATGCGAGCGCAATATCGGGTACATAGAGGCCAGTTTCGTTTGCGATTGCTTGCAATGCAATTGGTTGACCTCGATTTCTGTACAAATAATCGAGTACGACTGATTTCCAATAGGCATGATATGAAACACGTCCCAAATCTGACAATGGTTTCTCGGGCGTGCCCGGTTGCCCCTCTTCGCGGCTCAGCAAATAACTAAAATCGATTAGGAAACGTCCAAAACCTTGACGCTGATACTGTGGCATTGTCATGATACATGACACATTATACTTTTGTGCACAATGTTTTTCTTTTGAAAAATAACCAACCAAATGGCAACCTTTACGATCATTTTTCGTCATAACATAAAACAAAAATGGCTCAACATCATAATACAATGTTTTATGATCGAGAAACAGCTTTGCGAGCAGGCACAAATTTTGACAATACAATTTATTCACATTGCCATCAACTTCGAACACCGATATATCTTCGCGACGATAAATTTCGGTTCCGGGTGGATGACGCCATGTACATTTTTCCTGATGACGATCCAATACGGCTTTGCTTTTACTGTACTTCAGACAGAATTCACAGAGGAAGAGTTTTGGTAGCCTGAAAATGATTCGTGAACGGTTAAATATTTGTTCAGTTTTGAGTGGGGCAAGAAGTCGAACTCGATTCACATCACTTACCGTGCATATTCCTGTGGAAATGGGCTTGAATACCATGTTTCAATGTGCCATTGTCCAAATTCAATGGCAGACGGACAACGTGCTTGGGCGGCCATCGCCAGCGATGATGTTGATAATAAGCATGTGCTTAAATTTCCGGTGCCTTGACCAACAGCTAAATTTATATGGCCACCGTTTTCGTTCATAATTTCCGTTACTGTATCAACCGCTTTCTCTTGCACCTCCTTAAACAAATCGGCATCCTTTTGTGTCACACCCGGCGGAAGTGGTTGTTTTTCTATACAACATCCAAACGGCAAATTGAAACGAAAAGAGGAGAAAAAAAACCGAAGCAAATCACAATTAGTAATAATCGTCCATAAAAAAGCATAATAAAAATGATTGTAAATTTTGATTTAAAAAAATAAAATTAAATTAAATGTTAACAATATGACAGAAAAAAAAATAAAACGAAAAAAAGCTATTGAATTTCGCGTGTAATTGTTTTTCTATTCTTTATTATTTTATTTATCATGCACATTTTTATTTTGGAAATGGTTTTGTTTGTTTTTGATGTGAGTGTGCGCACTGGCAGTTGAAGTTTTTTTTTTGTTTGTTTATAATTTGTCATTTGGATTTGGATTTACTTGAGAATTTAGTCTCAGATATGTCTGCTCGTGTTTTTGATACGAGTGTGTCAAAAATGTGTAGATGTGCTATTTCTCAATTTGCCGCGCACTCGATCAACCATGGACCACATACAATTTTACCGATGCATCTCAGCAAACTGAATTCATTGATTTTTTGATATAAATTTGCTTTTATTTTGAATTTTGTTTGTTTGTTTGAGTCCTGTTTGAGTGCTGATTGAGGTGAAGGTGCTATTGCTGTGCTCACTGCAAAAGGATACATTTTCATTCGTTGCATTCATTTCAATTGCACATCATTCAAATGCCGCTCTCTCTCTCTCTCTCTCAATTTTTTTCTCTTTCGCTCTTTTTCTCTCTTTTGCAGTTGTGCATTTCACTCATATTTTGATTGACAGCTGATCTCGACCGAACCCGGCAGTTTGATTGAAGCTCTCACATGATCGATACATTTTTTTTGTTCAATGTGATTTCATTTCGTTCGATTCTGTTCTCTTGTTTTGTTTTTTTTTATTCAATTTATTCAAAAGTGTTTGGTTGCAATTTGGCAATGTAATAGCGGCGCCGCAAATCAAAACAAATAATACAATGCAAATCATATTGTCGCGCTTCACCCTTCCCTTCTTCCACAATCACGGATATTGCACACGAATTTATTTAAAATTGAGGAAGATTCTCATTTGAAAAGGATAGTGGTGTGTGTATCTGTGTTTTTTTTTTTTGAAGAAAAAAAAAGTATCGCATTCGCATAATAATTGTTTGGTTTTTCAAAAATAAAGGCATCAATAAATTGAGATATATATTTTTCGGAAATGAGTCAGAGATTGAAAGTGAATAGTACAATAGTTTGAAATAGTTTGTCTGTCAAATTGGGATCTTGTTGGAGCCAAACTAATTGAGAGTGAAATAAAAATGTTACATATATGAATGTTGGTCTTTCGCCAGGTGTCACCGCTATTCGGATTCGAGTGCGGTTCGTCCTTGGTTGCCGAATTGGCGCACATGAGATTAGCCGTTCGAAAGAGAAGTTGGGTCTCAAGTGGTCCGGTTGCAAAAAGAAAGCAATGCAAGATAAGATGAATGTTCTACGCAAAATTTCCTCAGTTTTTTTTTCACGAACAAAACAAAAATCAAACAAAAGATGAAGAAGTTTTTCGAAAGAAAGAATAAAAAAAACAAAGCGATCGTTGATTTTGATCAAAGTGTGATGTGTCACTTGAAAAAAAACGGTCATAAATGGCAACGATCAATGTATGACGCGCGTACGTTTGCTCATTCGCTTACGCACAACAATCAAATCATATCGAATGCAGCGCATCAATCAACGTCGCCTGAAGCATATAAATCTATCAATTGGCTGTGTAAGTCGGTGTGTGAATGAATGCGCACAAATGGTCAAAATGCAAATTGCAAAATGGTTTCTATTTGGTTCATTACACGTTCTTCTTCTTTAACTTGAGCGGTGAGTGCATTCGAGTTAGTATGTTTTTTTGGTTTGTTTGTTTGTTTGGTTTTTTTTTTAAAACGAATTTACGGTATATGTAAATGTTTTTTTTTGTTTGCTTATGGTGAATATGATTATTCTTACCCATTGATTGATTTTTGTTGTATGGTGGCGTGTGCGGTGACAATGACGACAACATTGGATAATTTGACGACATTCCTAACGGATCAGGGATTGATCGTACACCGTGCCTATGGCTATGGTGATGATGGTCACTTTTATGATGGCCGATTGTATGATCAATCCCTGTTGCAACTAGCGAGGCAAAATCCAATGAATATTTTTTATCGGATTGATGTGATGTTGATGGTGTTGTCTTTAAATAGGGTATTTCATCTTCGCTCGATGAATCGTATCGGATTTTATTTGGATCAAGTGGTAGCGATACTAATGCAACGCGTCGCGGTGTACCTCCCATTTTATTATTACTTGCATTATTTGAGCTTGTATTATTATTTCGAATGCTATTGCTATTGTTATTTAATGAGGCGCTGGATGCAATGCATCGATTCGTATCCTGCTTTGAATGCGAACGCGAAGTATTGGAGTGTGATTGCTTGTTTGTTTTGCTATTATGGTTATTGTTTAAGCGAATTTTCGATATGCTGGCACTGCTATTGCTACCGCGATTGCTACCAAAACTTAGCGACGACGACGACGACGATGACAATGCGCACGTTGTCGATGTCACCATCGTCGTCGTCGCATTCGACGTTGTCGTTGTCGTCGTCTTTGGTCGTGTGAATAAATTTTTCGTATCCATCGTATCGCCACTGTCGCATACGGCAAAAGCGTTTAATTTTCGATTGTTTTTCGATTTAAGAAAGCTACTAAATTCAGTCTTTTTATCAGGGCGCGCATCCTTCAATTGATGTTCGTTGTACTCTTTGTGGCTTTGTGATTTGGTTTTTCGTCGGCCAACTGATTTGCCATCGGTTGCGGCACCTTTGTTCGAAAACATTGGCATCAACAGTCGTGACGAATTGGTTTGTTGGTGTTGCTGCTGTTGGGCTGATGATAGTCGTGCATTTTGGCCGGATGACGATTGATGTGAGCTTGTTTTAACCAGTGACTCTTTATCGACACCATCAAAATTACCAAAAACACGTTCACTTAAGGCATTTGTTGAACGACGAAATATATCGAAATTCTTTTTCGCTTCGGCCGCAAAACCCCATGATGTACTTGCATCAACAATTGAATCCTTCGATCTGGTGACGGTGGTATTTTTTGAACTACCACTCGATGTTGCAACACCAGTATCACGGCCAGATGTAGTTACAGTTGTACTAGCCACAGCAACACAACCAGCACCACTTGCATTATCATCATTGTCATCCATATCCGAATCTTCATCCGATGACACTGAATCACTGTTGGACGAACTGCTATCGGAATTAAAGGAACTGCTTGAGCTGCACGATTCAGATGAGCTATCACTGTCTTCGTCGTCATCGTCTTCGTCGCTGCTTGAACTTGTTGCTAAATTTGAATAGGGAGGATAGGGATTATGGTAACATTAGTCATGGAATTGCCTAAGATTGAATTGCGCTACGTATGTTTTGTGTTTATGTATGTGATTGATTGTGTTTATGTTTATGTTTGTGTTTATGTATGTTTATGTGAGTGTATGCAATTTTTATGCGAAAATGTCGTTGAAAATCATACGAATACGAGCGTATTTTGTTCGTTTTCGCAACATTTTCGAACAACATCACCGCATATTCCATCCCATTCTTAAGAAAATTCCATGAATAACAAAAAACCATAAAGAGATCTCGGGTCGAGAGTGTTACCTGCTCGATTTGTTGTTGCTGAGTTGGTTGAAGTGGGTGATGTTTTTTGAATTCGTTCACTATTGAATGCCGAATGTCGAAAGAATTTCTGCTTTTCTTTTGACATTCGTACATTCTTTCCTAAATGGGGTTGTAGCGAATGCGTGGCTTGTGTATCCCCGATTCGACTACTAATCACTTGAGACGAATTTCGCGACGCAACTGAATGTATTTTGTTGGAAAAGTTTTGTTTACCGATTATATGGGAATCATCGAAGTCAGCATCGTTGCATGTTGTCCGTTGCCTCGTATCAATGTCAATATCATCATTTTCCTCTTCTTCGCTTTCATCGTCCGATTCATCATCTTCATCGTCGTCAGATTCATCATCCTCTTCATCATCATCGTCGTCGTCGTCGTCGTCATCATCATCGTCACTCGATGACAATCGACTTGAATTCGTTGCAGGTACAATCCTTCGTCGAGCATTTGTCGATTTCTTTGTATGCGAACTACTACTGTTGAGTGGCGTTGATGAAATCAATCGTTCCGATATTCGTGACGACGTCGTTTCCGGTGTTCTAAATGTTGCACCCTGTAACATTGAATCCAGCCTATTTTTATGTGGAAAAAAAATACACACACCATTAAAAGATTGTTTGATTTTAACATGAATTTCTCTTATTGTCACATTTCATTTTGCTTTTTTGCATTCAAACCGAATCCACCATCAGATCGATAATTTACCTCAGCTGTTTCTTTTTATCGACACTTTTTTGTTGTAATTTATTCATCTTTTTTCTTGCACACAATGGTGAATTGGCTGATTTACGACTAGACGATTTTTTCACTTCATTATTATCATGATGTTCTAAGCAATGACGACACCTATTGTCAAAAATAAGCGAATGGAAATCAATTTTAAAATTTAATTTGTGTTATTATTATTTATTTTTTGTTTGCAATGTTTACCTCCATGGGCACTTTGGCTTTTTCACAGGCACTGGATCTAAACAACATAGATGGTAGCTCTTATCACAAGTACAACACGACAGCAGACAGACTCCTTTACTATTACTATTTGAGGCGGACGTTTTGCATGCGCTACATGACGATTGGCATTGTTTGCAAAACCATTTGCTACCTTTCTTTACAAGAATCGATAGTGGAACAATATTTGATGCTAGATTTGCCAATTTACTTGCGCATGATGAATGTAACGATGTACCACAACCACAACACGAACTTAACAATTCAGCCGTTCCGGTTGGACCTTTTGATGCTGTACCATTGCATTGGACACATACGCTCGTTTTGCTTGTCTGTTTTTAAAGAGAAAATATAAAAAAAAACACAATTAATAAATCATGTGATTATTTCAATGAACAATAGCTACTAAACATTCATTCGATGACAACAACAACAACAACAACAACAACAACAACAAATATTAAAAAAGTGCAACAAAAACAAATCATTTCGCTATTTGCACGATCGATTAAGAGAATCAATATATAAATGAAGGCTTAATAAATAAATATATATCTTTTGCATCAAGACATCTCTCGATGAACGATTGCATTTTAGCTTTCATGATCAATTCGGCTCTGCCATGGCACTGACGTGCATGTGTATGCTGTGTACATATTGGAATCGTGATCGATAAACAATTTTCATTTCAAGAGACAGAAAGACTGTGCGAGGAAGAGAGTGGGAATTAGGGAGACACACACAGAGAAAGAAAGAGCGCGCAAAATAAACCAGTTTTCTTGGATTCTCTTTCACCGAGCGAGCGGCGAAAAAAAATTCATTCGATTTGTTCCTGACGTTTATGTTCGTGTGTATGGTGTATATGTTACAGATCGATTGGATTTTATATATACTGTATTTGAAATGCCATGCATTAAATCCGTTGATCGAAGTGCATATTTTTAAATGGTAGCAAAAATTCCAATCGATTGCAATTCATGTGGTGTATAAAGAGGACACTGAAGACTTTAAAAAGTGCAAAGGTACAGTGGCAACAACAGCAACCGAAATTCGAATGTACAATGGAATATTTGAATCATGTCATAAGTGCCATTCGAAGGAGGGAAACCAAATTGTCCAATTGTTATGGTTTTTAGTCTCTTTTCAAGTGAGACAGAAAAAGAGCAGAGAGTCAAATATTAATAATGCTCACAATTATCAGGAAAACTGTCAAGAGAGAGAGAGAGATAGAGAGAGAGAGAGAGAGAGAGAGTGAGAGAGAGAGGAAAACGTCGCCACCAAAAAAAACTTTCTAAACGATTTAACAAAGATTACTGCAAAACACGCCAACGACAAAACAATCGAACAAAATCGATTTGTACAACCATTTTCTCCATATCTATCATATGATGTTCGATTCAAGTATAAATGAAATCAGAGTTTTCACAAGCAACAACACACTTAATTATATGCATGGTGTGCAAATGGCAACGTATTATTATCAAAGTCACCATATGTGAGCGCAACACGATTTACAAATGTCCCAAAGTAAAAGCAAGATAAAAAAGCAACTCGAAAAAAAGAAAACAAATGCTCGGCGAAAGGTAAATGATGAAAAAAAGCAAGTGCTCGGTTAAAATTGACATAAGGTTCATAATTTTGAATTGATTTGTCGAGCAAACAACCAAAAACTCATACACATGTTGTTTTCTGTATACAGGTTAAAATAAATTTTCCACAATCAATCGATATCTGACGTTTGAATGCAATTTTAAGTCAACAAATATCTAGGTAATGTATAAATCATGGAGCAGTTGTGTTCGCACTTTCTTCGAAATAATCATCAACGTCGCTCTGATTTGATTCATTTTGTATAAATGACGAATGTGAATAGAGTCAATTTACAGAAAGTCATAGCGAAAGAGATGAATGGAAATCGAAAAAGAAAAAAACACATACACACCAGTTGAGTCGAAAAGACGAATCATTTTATAGTGAATGTATTTAGCAAATAAGTACTTTGACACAATAAAAGTCACGCATCTAGTTGCCGAGTGCTGTTTACGCGAATATAATTTTTGCGCGCAACTTTTTCTCTCTTTTCTAAAATCGCACATTACTTTTGAATGGTTTTCGTTTTGTATATTTTGATTTTGGTCTCACTCGCCGAGCTAGTCGACGGTAATGCATTCGACTTCCTTTATATCGGCCAGAGTGTGTGTGTGCGCATATAATGGCTCACTTATAAATTCAACAAACATCTGAATAAATAATGATTTGAAAGGAAAAAATAACGCCGAAACGACTTACACTGAGAGCGCGTGTTTCTGCAAACAAAAGGAACGCATATACATGCAGAAAAGAAATATATGTATCCGTTTTATTACCATCACTCAAAGTCGTTTGCATGCCTCTTTAAGCACAGTGAATAAACAAAATGAAAAATTGCTATGAAAACGCGTATAGACATGCCAACAAACAAACAAACTTTTAAAAAAATATGTTTTAATTAGCAACTCTTTTCAATCGTGGAATTTCCTGAGTCATTTTTGGATTATGCTTTGCATGACGATGATAACCAATGACAAAACATTGTTAATAGAGCAGCTGCTGTATCAACGATCCATAGAAGAATAAAAACGCCAACAAAACGACAAGTGTTGACAAATTGCACAATTGCTTAAGAGCGTTGGAGCTTGTGTGAAACACTTTTTGCTCAGTTTATATTGATTTGAAACACATTGCAGCTGAAGTGCCAATAAATCATCAGTCTCAAAGAGTGTAATCAAAGAGTTTCTTGAACCGGAGAGAAGTTCTTCTTTTAATAAGAAGAAAAAACTATGAAACGTACGCATCCGATTTTAATCAAACAGCATGCATGACAATCATTCGATTTGAATGGTTTTTCGTGTGTATGTGTGTGAGCATAGGGAAATTACAAGAATTCCGTTAAAATTGCTTATATTTGTTGCCATTATTGTAAAGTGTATGCATATTTTTACGCTGCATGCAAAATACCGAGTGAAAGTCAGCATATTAAAAGGTTAAATGATCAAAAGTCTGATTTGCCCTCCAAATTAAATGAAAATAAGTGAACGACAACAATCGATGGCGATGAAAACACGTCTCAATTGAATGTAAAGAAACGTTTCAAATATAGTATGCATTAATTCCGCATGCAATTGTGGATGAGAGCAACAAAAAAGGTGAACAAGAAAAAAAGAGAATTTGGTGAGAAATGTTATTTGTAGTCAATGTATGCACAAACACACACTCACATACACAAGAAATGAATACATTTTCTCTTTAGCACAGCTGACGACCTTTTGTCCTTTAAAAAATGTTATGCACTTCCAAAAATATCTGCAACAAATATCGATCGAAGTATAAAAGCCGCACGAATGGTATGGTGAATTTAAAGAGAGAGAGAGAGAGAAATGGCAGAATACGAAAAGCCAATGTTTGCGATTTATTTCGAACTCTGTGTTTGAATATGTGTTAGCTAATAAAATGGTTGCCCACCAACAATGCAATTTCCTTTGCACAATAGAAATATCCCAGCAACCGAATGAATACCTTTCAGAAAATGAATTTTTCGGTCGGTCAATAGAGTCGATATGGTGTTTGTGTGTGTATGTGTGTCTGCATAAAGAGAATCGACAAACCAAGCATTGGAATCGTACTTTGTGTGAAATGCATGCATTCACTTAGTTCACGTATCAACAACAGCATCGTTCACCGTATCCCGACCTTTTTTTTATCTTCATTCGTTTACTCAATTGTAACGTGTTCTTCTCTGTCGTTGCGTTTGCAATTCATTGTCATTCAGTTTTTGGATTTGTTGTTGGTGTTGGCACAAGGAAGTAGCAATCAAGTTTGGTTTTCCATTCAAATTAAGCGATTAACATCAACCGCATTCATCACAGCATCGTAAGTAAGCCAAACGATCAAATGAATCAACGCAACTGTGCTCTCTCTCTCTCTCTCTCTCTCTCTATTGCCATTCCTCTCCACCTATCTCTTGCAGTTCGGTTACATTACAATCCGTTGATAAGATGCAACGCACTGGCCGTTGCCGTTAAATCGTACAATGACCGGTGCATTGCAACTGCGCGTACTCTCTCTTTCTCTCGCTCTCGCTTGCTCTCACCCATTCTCTGTTTGACATTCAAAAAAGCTATCGAATAATATTTGACGGGCTCTATACTGATTCAATAGTGGCAGCACCAGAATCAGCACCGAATAAGACGAACACAACCAGTAAATTGTGCGAAGCGAGAATTTATGCAAGCGTTGATTTGCAGGCAACCGAGAGATGAGATACACACACACAAGCTATTACATTCTATGAGCATTTCTCCACAATTACTAGCTACTCATATTTTCACGTTTTTCGTTTCAATTCTAGCTCATATATGTACTTTCACCAATATGTATATGCGATACGAAGCGCATGAATTCGCAGGCATTCTTACTTTGTTCCATAATATAGCTCATTAAATTTTGCACATTCGCCATTTGCCTTGCGTTCTATCTATCTCGCACGAAAATGCCGTTGATACACGAATAAACATGTGTGTGTGTAAATTTTATTTGTGTTTTGGATGAGCGCACTTCACCTCGCATGCATATAAATATCTCTCTCTCTCTATCTCTTGCTCGCTCGCTCACTAGTTTAATGCAGTTTCACATCTTCTCTAACTACATTTGACTCAAAAAAATTTGTGTTTTAATTTGGATCGATTGAGACGTATATGCAACGGGTGTTGTCGAGACATTTTCTCTGGTTCAAATTTTTTTTTATTCCCAAATGATTCCCTTTTGTTGCACTAAATCAGCAAATATTCCATAATGAACTGACATTGAATTGATTACATCTCTGTGAATTGAAATTCAGAGAAAAATGTCAACAACAACAACAAAACTTTCAATTCAACTGAACTCATTTGAATTCGCAATCTCCATTTGCAATCGGCGATCACCTGACAATGATGCAATCTTATAATTACTGCGAAAAAAAAGGTTACTCAATACGTTTACGATAGCATGATGTTTATTTTAAGTCATGCGTACATAAGAAATTGTCGCGTAAATATTCATGTAAATTACATTACGCGTGTCGAATTATACGCGACTGCCATACGCAATTGGATCGCAAAATGGTTTGGTGAACGTGCCGCCGAATGAATTGCATAATGGACACGGTGGAATGTAAAAGATATGAAACATCGAACCAAAATCGATCGTTTTGAATCTCCCTTCGCACATTTAAATCTTGAATAGCGGAAGAACAACTCATTATTTAAAAATTTGATTATTTTTTTATTGTCCATCAAACAATGACTTAGATTTTCAATCTTTTTCTTCGAAATGATTTCCAATTATTTTGACTTCATCGATTTTTTGATTTTGGGCCGAATAAATATTTCATGGGTCGTTTGCTGTTTTTTCTCTTGGTATAATTTGTAATTAGCATGTCCTTTAGCCGGTTTTAATGATGATTCGGCAATAAAACCCTTCTGACTACTCAAGATAAGCAGATTAAATACAGTCTTCAGTTCACAATATAGAACAAAATAAATCAAGAGATCTGTGTTTTCTGATTCTTATTCATCGAATTTTACATAAATTTCACCTACTGTGAAACATTTGAAGAGAGAAAAGGTAATTGAAGAATGAAATTCACGAAAAGTAAAAAAAAAATATTAATCTTATCAATTGGAAAGCCTGTTTCAAAGAATTTGAATTCGTAAATAAGCTCCGGTTGCTGTACGTGATAAACACGTTTTTGGTTGCGGTATATATTACACAAAGCGTTCGGTGAACTCTCACACAGCGTATTGCATTTATGTTTATGTTTTCAGTGTAAGCGCTTAGTGGCAGTTTGTTTAACGTTGATCTGCCATACACATAAATAAAACATCAATTACGCCCATCACTTAATTGCACATAGAGTGTTTGTTGGGAATAAATGCTTGTTAAACATGAAGTACCACTTCATGGATGGTGATTTATAAAGAATTTTTGAGCACATAATATTTGTGTTTATGACGATTGGATTACGTGTCTTTGATTTTCAGTTAAATCAAATATTCATTCGGTATTCAGGTATTCTACCTGATTTAATTGCATTGAAATATATTCTATTCGATCAATTTTGACCAACCACAAAGAGGAACTATCTAAATAAATTTTGTGTTGTGCTAGCTGAATCATCATTAACCATAATTATTTACGATTTATGAAACTTTCGGTTGGACTAATTTATCAAGGGACCTGAACAACACACATATTTTCGTTCTTTTTCTCTCCACCTCCTTCATTTACTCTCTTTTCATTATTCAGCGGTAGCCTTGTCGAATGGAAGACACTTTATGTATGTGGCGTTAAGTGCTAAGTTTTTTTTTTCGTTTCTCTTTCGGTCAAGATGGATCACGAAATGATCAACCTTAAAATGTGTAAATGAACCACATCAACCGGCACACAAATGATAACTTGGAAACAAGCTAGAATTCACATCAGAAACGGACAGCAATGGCCAATGAAATTGAAAACAATAGCTTTGGATTTATGTGATTTTTTTTCATTCGTTTCGAATGAAAATGAAAATAAAGTTATCTGTCGGACACAATGTGAGTTACATAGTTCATGGAATATGCGATGTGCGTGTGAACAGGTATGCAGCATTGAAAGGGTTTTAATTTTCAACACATTTATGCATAATTTATTCATATTTGACTACATTTGTGTGGAAATGCACACCCGCGCAACCAGAAGAATGAATTATTTCTAGTTTTTTTTTGAAGAGAAGAAAAATAAAAAATGGACCCTGAATAGCCAACATGAACAAAAAAAAATTGTGAATAATATGTAAATTATGATTAAATATCATGTGAATGTGTCGTAATTTTTTTGTTATTCGACTTTGTTACATGGATGGCAACGTTTGTTCTGTTCGAATTAAAAAGAATTAAAAAAGAAAACCTATTGTAATCCTCGACTTCCCTCATCATCGTCGATATAATATCTGTTTTCACATTTGCACAAATTGTAATTTGCGCAAGAGCACTTGTAAGCACACAACAAACGAATTGGAATAAAAGTCAAATGGTTCTGTCTACTTACATTAAGCGATGTGCCGATGAATGTGTCTGTGGTGTTGGCCGTTGTCAGAATGGATTTATCGTTGCTGCTGTGACTGGTGCCGGCTATTGAACTATCACCTTGTGATGATGATGATGTGCCGGGTTTTTTCCGTGGCGACGTGGAACGTCGCTTTCGCGGTGATGTAAGCGACACTTTACCCACTTTGTACAATTTACCCTCTTGCACTAAAAACTCTTTGGACACGGCTGTTCGCAGTGCATTTTTAACAATTACCCGAAAATCAACGGTATCATCGGTCAACACAATATTGTTTGATTTTTGTACATAAGTTTCGATTTTTTTCGCATTTGAACCATCACATTCGCCAAGCTCCCGTACCGCTTTTACCACTAGTCTTGTTATATCCGTATCTTTAGAAATATTTACACTTTTACGCGCAACCGGCGCCTTATACGAATGTAAACCTTTATTATATAATTTTATAACGGCACCGTTTGTAACAGCCTCTTCCAATTTTGCAGCTACAATGTCTTCGTGAAATTTATGGTGGCTGCCGATTGCTTGACATATTCTCTGTGTAGATGGTCGTTGTTTTTGTGATCGAATCTTTCGTATCGCCTCCAAAATCCATTCTTGCCAAACTTCAGCACTTACGTCTTGTGAATCGCCACGCATTGCGCGCGTCTTTTTCGGCGTTGCAATTGGCGCGCACCCAGGACTTAACAAATAATAAACTTGATTTTAATTCTTTTTTATTTTTTTTTTTCTTCTTCTTTTGTTTCAATCAATTTTTTGGTTGATTTTTTTAATTGGAGGTTTTTGTTTCTTCACTCTCCCACTTTCGCACTTTCTTTTATTTGTCGCTCCAAATGTTTCTCGAACCAGATTTATCGATTCACGTTCTTTGCCTGCACTTCAATCAACGGTCTGTTTTCCAGTTTGGTTCTATGTTGGAAGAGACACAAGAATCAACAAATTAAAAACGATTAAAAGTTGTCAAAAATGGTTAAAAAGCGGTTAAAAACTCAATTTAAAAAATAAATGTTGTGAAATTGTACTTGACAATGAATGAATGGACAAATTAAGTGAAGCAGTTCTCTTCAAACCATTTAACATTGTTTGTAATTTACGCTAAACTGTTTGTTTTTCCAATGTTCATTTCAACAAGGTGAAAAAGTTTTAATTCCATAAAAGTTCGAAAAAAAAATATCGAGAGATAATTCAACTGCAGTTAAGCAAGTATCAAATCGCTTATGAATGAATCAGTTACGTAGAATGAGAAACAAAGAGACTGGATCTTGTGCATTTGCGCACGTGTTTTTTTGTCTGTTGGCAACAAAGTTGCCGCATTCATATTTGCTTTTCCTGTGGAATTATTGTTACGTATCATTCATTCGGAGAAAAAAAAACCACACAGACTCACACTCATACACCGAAAATAATCACCGAATCGAACCATTTTTAATGGGTGTTGTTTTGGTTTTGTAAAAAACATGAAAGGCAATAACAACCAAATTCGGCCGAGAGCTTTTTATTTGAATTATTTATTAGTTTTGATGTTTGGTGGTGTTGTTGTCGTCGTCAAGGATTTATTGCATGTCGCATGTTCTTGTGTCTCTTATAATTTCTCTTCACTTCGTCCAATCTTATTATTCGTCGCAACAACATTCATCGCCTACCGATCAACTATTGCACAATATTGCATTTCACAAGCAAATTTTCATTTCTCCTGTAATATTCAAATCTCTTGGAAAGTGAGAGGCAAAAAAAAGTCGGTGAAAACTCGCCTGCTACCCCGTCGAATTTTTCGGAAGAGAATCGATAACTGACAACAGTCACATTATAGCTGACTGATTGACTACTTTGATATAATATTGTACGAAAAGCCAATAAATTCAATCGATTGTCCCAAATAAAAGTGAAATGGTTTGCTACTGTGATTTTGGTCGAATATCGGTTTTGTATGGAAAATCAATCACAGTCATCCGATTAGCTCATCAAATTAGTCAATCATTTTATTAACACACGAGAAAAAATTAATAATAATAAAGTTCAACGAAATGTCGCTGTCGCATCGATTTTCATTCGATTTGGTTAACTGTCATTTTAAATAATTGTATTTTTCTGCATATAATCAGTTTATATTTGTAATCTGTTCCGCTTCTATGGATTGAAAATGTGTTCATGCGCTGGATTAAGTAAGTGAGAGGTAGAGAGAGAGATAGAGAATATGCTGGTAAAAATTGATGCAATTTAATTGAAAGCGACCACGAGTGTATGAGCAATCAGTGCACGTTTTATTTTTATGCTATAAGCATTGCGATTTTCTTCCTTCCAAAAATAGAGTAAAAAGAGTGTTGTTGTTGCTGTTGTTATTTTTGTTATCGTTCTCGTCATGCTTACTCTCGTCCATAAATCGCTCGTTTGTTCGCGCGCACATTTGCCTTTATCGACTGCAATTTGAATGAAGTGTCATTTGAATGTAAGCAATAATCCATTTCATACTTTTCCATTATTCAACAGAGCTATTTTTCAATGAGTATACATTTGTTTGTGTGTGTGTGTGTGTGTTGCTGAGTGAAAGGGATAGAAAGAATTGTGAAGCTGCATGCCAAAAGCCGTTCAAAACTCAATATCCAAGTAGATGACCTTTTGACCTATTTTCCGTTGAAATACGTTTTGCTCATTTTCGTTGAGCGCGACGCGCTAACAACAAAATTGCAATAATGGAAATTTGATTGGCATTGAGTGCGCGCATCGTATAATTCAACCAAAATTTTTCTTTCTCTCCACTCGCTCACCAAATTTTCAGGCATGCATGTAAAATGGAATTGACGAAGGTGGCTCAAAAGACCTCCTTCTGGAATTTCTTATCTTCATGGTACATGTATGCATGGCGAAGCCTTTCATGTCAAAGCATCAGAAAATTCTATTTCACAATTGCATTCTTCCTTCCATTTTACTTCATCCGATTCAGTTCTCCATATTCAATGTATGGGTATGTTTTTCATTTGGCTTTCCAACTCTATTTTTGCATTGTTATATGAGCAAATGCAAACATGCACGATGCTTACACTTTGCAGAATGCTTCTTTTCAATGCGAATAAACGAGCGAACATAAAATAATTAAAGAATCTCTCTTGAAAGAGAGCGAAAAAAACCGACTAGCTCAAAAATGAATGAATCGTTTGGAATTTGTCTACAGTTTTTTTTTCTAGAATTTATAATGTTTGCATATTATTCTGGTTTTTGTGGTTATTTCATTTTTATTTTTTTTTTGAACACGAAAACGCGACAGTTTTTTTCTCTCGTCTTACTGAATCATGTGCACACCGACAACGAACAATGAATATGGTGACATTCAGGGCGATAATGAGACACAAAACGAAAAAGTGTGAACAAATGTGCCAAACAAAACATTTATATGGATAAAATCCGCCTTGCGATTTAACGCACTCAATGGCCATACAAAACATTCCTTTCTCATCTCAATTGTGCTTGAAGTGAATTTTTGGTTCTTTTCATGAATTGGAATGGTTTGTTTGCTGTCGTCGCTTCGTTTGTGCATGTGTCAGATTATTTAAAGTGATTGCATTCAACAGAAAGAATCATCGCTTCTCGATTTATGAAAAGGCGTTAATTTACGCAATAAATTTTACTAAAATGACTCTTTAAAATTCTACAAACGACATCGCATGCGTGTGAAAGATGCCACACAAATGATGAACCGATGTCTTTTAGACGCATTTCGGTTTCAGTGTGATCGCTCAAGCTCAGAGATAATTAATTGATCATTAGACCAACTGCAAATCGTTTTTCTTAGACCAACCATCGGTTCGAAAACGGCGCATCGTCAACGTTGAGTAATTAAACGAAAAATTCGATTTTAAATTGGAATGCATTTTTTGTTTGTTCTCTTGATTTGAATTTCAAATGAAATGAGAGATGTGGAATGAAACATGTGGCAAAAATTCCGATGAAAACTAAAATCGTTTGCAAAATTAATTTTGAAACGATAAAGTTACGACGCAATAAGCGAGACAACTTATGCCAAATTATTCGATGTGAGTTTTTACATTTTCATTGTTTTTACAACAGTCTATATAAACATTTCATTATGAATGTATTTTCTTATTACTTAATAGTTTTCATATTTATTTATTTGTTTTCATTCTCTTTTTGATTTACTCGCCGTTTCTGCCTCTGATGTGCAAACAAATTTATTGACGGCAATAAATTGTGCATCAGATCACAAAACGGAAACTAGCACACACACACATGCACGCATGCTCGCTATGTGTGTATTTTTGAGACACAACTACACGGTGAGAATTTGACGCGAGAAGCAATTTTTCGATTTCGAGTGCCGAAAATACATATGTGCAAATAAACATACATATACGTACACAATATAAGAAAAATCGAGAGAGCGAAAAATGAATGCTATGTAATTTAATTGCTATTATCATCGTCCGGCTTCTAATGAAGTCAAGATCTCATCATACATCGTATAGATTTTATAAACACTAGCGCATACACGTAATAAATTGCATGGAAATGTTTAGCTCGGAGCTAAGCGAAAGGCGCGCTTCAATGTAGAAGAAAGGCAAACAAAGCGTTTTCCCTTTTTTTTATATATGTAAATTACGAATGGTACAAGCGGCAAGGGTTTGTTGCAAAGTAGAATAAAGCCACACGCACACACATACACACATTTAATTGTGTGCATTCAATCGGTTCTCACTTTGGAGTGTTTAGACAATGTCTCACTTTTTTTTCTTCTTAATAATGGCATGAACTGTTGAATATTACGTAATCATCATCAATAAAAATTCAAAAGAAAACACTCTTCGACAATCAAGCAGATGCAATGAATATTTGGTCATTTCGACTGTGGTAATTTGAATAGATTTATAAAAAGCGACATATGTCACTATCATTCAATACCATTGTTCAATTAAAAATCGAAAAAGCACCGAATTCCAATAAAAAATCTGTAAAAGTAAATCTTCGTGATGAGCGTCTTCCTGTATGTCCGGTGCGTAGTTAATGCGTAATAATTTGCCCTATAGTGCTAATAATTATCGTGCATGGCAACAACAACAACAATAAAAAAAGGATTTATCCGATTACGCATATAAAGCTATTCTGTCAAAATATTACGATGTGGAATTTTCGCAAAATTTATTATCGCCTTTCTGAACTTACGTACAAATGTTCCATTGTATGGTTTTTGTTTGCCCGTGGACAATAGCCGTGAACGAAAAAAAGAGATGGAAAAGAGAACACGAATTGAAATATGGAGCCGCAAAACAAACGGTTCAGATGTATTAATAATTGAAAAGAAAAATCGACAAATTACTGAATTTTTATGACAACGATGTTACAACAACAGATGAAGAGAATAACAAAAAAAATAAATAATGTCCGAAACAAACAAACGAATAAAAAGCGGCGGCAACACCGTGTCGTGCTCTGAACAAAGCAATGTAGAACTAAAAAAAAACACTTATGCCGCTTGTATTGTGTATGTGTGTTGGCCACACAAACAATTTATAGGGCATATTCGTTAACTACGAAGCAGAATTAAGTGAAAAAAAAAATATGTATAAAATGTAAATCGTAAGATATTTATCCAGATATAATCGATGAGAGACTCATACACATATCTTTTTTCAGTAAGTTTAACTAAGTTTGTTCGCTTGGTTCGGTCGGTACGTCATTGCTTGGCGGTCGGATTTTCGGTGTCAATCCAATCCGAGTGCCTTTTTTTTCAGTTCACTTTTCTTCAAAAGTACAATACCATTATTGTATGAATTCGTGTGCTCCGAAGAATGAACAAGAAATATTGTCTCTCTCTGTCTGTGTGTGTGCGTATGTGTATATATGCAAGCGCAAATATCCACGGTTACGGGTAGCGACCATAAACGGCAAATGTTTTCGGT